AGTTAACGAATTTTTTCAAGTATCTGCACAAAGACAGTTGAAGAGAGAGACTTGATCGAGGGTTTCGATGACTTTATCCCAAATAGTATTCAAAATGATATCTTGGAGAGAGAAGAGATTAGACTTGTAGCTTTACAAGCTTGTGCTACAGTCGTCAAATCTTGAAAAGGAATTTTACTAGAGTTTTGAGAATGTTTCAGAGCCTGTGGTAGACGTTTAAAAAGGTCCCCTCTTTTATGAAAGGGGCCTATCTTTATCAGCTCTAGGGAGATATTAATTTTTAGAACTCCATAAATTAATACTTATTAATTTAAATTTAATTTCAAAATAAGAGAAAATTTTCTCTTATTATATAAAAATAATTTGATTTCGAATTTAAATTTTGAATACTTTGCAATTATTGGGAGATTTTGACATATGTCATTATGGGACTTGAATATTTGGTTTAACCTATTGTCAAAATGGACTGTGTGGCCCATATTTTAAAATGAGTTAATCCATGTAATTTTAATCGGGTTCACATATCTTTAAAAATTGGGAAAATTATCCATAGGTCCCATGTGGAACATGTGGACACCATTTAATTCCATAACTTTTTGAGTACACCCAAAAGTCCTTTCCTTGCTTCCCTCTTTACGTCTCCTCCTCTAACCCTAATCTCAGTCCTGAAGTCAAACAAGAAGGCGATGAAAAACAAGAACAAGAAGACGCTCATCCTCAGATCCGTGCTTAGATTGAACAGATTTGTGTATATATCTTTATCAATTTCTCTCTCTTTCTCTCTCTATTTACAAATTTTTTTGGGATAGTTGTTGATCTATGGTTGTTGTTGTTGATGATGAAATAGATCTATAATATCATTGAAACAGATCTGTAATGACTCAGATTTGTACAGATATCACACAGATTTGTAATGAGAAAATTTTCGAATTCTGAACAAGTAATTTTCGAGTTTTAGTTATAGGCGGTGAAAACTGTAAAATTTTGCAGTTTCAATTTTTTTTTTGGTGCTGGAATGAATCATGGTTTAAAACTGTAAAATTTTGCAGTTTTATAACATTTTTTAGAACTGTAAAATTTTACAGTTTCATAACATGTTTTAAACATTCCGACGAGTCTCCGGCGACCGTTTGACGGAAGTCCGACGGTAGTAAAATGTGAACAGTGTCTGTAAATTAAAAAAAAAAGGATTTTTTGGTAACAATTAAAAATGTATTGGACTAATTGGTGCAAGTATTTTGTTTTGGGATTAGCTGGTGAGAGGGTAATTTTTGGGAAAAATTGGGCCGAGCCGCGAGTTGGGCATTGAGGCCCAAAACGCGAAGGACTAAGTAAGAAGGCCGCGATAAATACTCCGGCCCAGAAAGGCAAAGTTACTTCGGCCCAAGGAGGTGAAATTACTCCAGCTCGAGAAGAGATATTTACTTCGGCCCAAGGAAGAGTAAAACTACTCCGGTCTTTAGGCAACTTACGGTTAGGCCGGTCTCAGAGTTAGTCCGGTCACAGTATGTTCTGAGAAGGCCGGTTTCGGAGTTAGTCCGGTCGTGACTTACAATGGTTAGGTCGGTCAGAACTTGTTACTTGGAAGTTTGATCTAAGTACGTCAAGGGTGAACAGAACAGCCGAAGTAAGGAGTTAGGGGAGAAGACCGAGCTAAGGATAGTTCGGCCCTCTGTGGCTCGGTATAGCCAATTTTACTTCGGTCAAAAGCAAGTTCGGCCATAAAGAAAACCATCCCACTTGGTTTAAGCAGTGGGGGAGGGTGTAAAAGGATAAGCATTATCCTTAGGAGAATGAATCCTAGGAGGACTCTGCATGGAGAAATACAAGTCCTACTAGGATTGTGCCACGGGAAACT